CCCACCCTCTCCCCATCCCTGCCGGCCCCCACCCTCTCCCAATCCCCTCACCTAATCTCCTGTGGCCAGTGGATTCGCCCCTTGGGGGGTCGATTCCTCCGAGACGTCGGTCTGGAGGGCCGGCCGGGAGCGGCACGTCCCCCATCGGCGCGTCGGTGGCGACGGCCCCGCAGGTTCCTCTCCTTTTCTCTCCCTCCCTCACACACACACACGCTCTCTCTCTCTCTCTCCAAGGCTGGCTTGCGGCTTGATCTATTGTTATTTAGGTTGCTGCTCGCGGTTGGTTGCAAGGATAGTTGTTGCGGTGGTCAATTTCTCCTAGAAAGGTTTGTCTTCAACCTCTGGAGATTTGTCTTTGACTAGCTCCGAGAGGTGTCACGGTCTGAGAGGATACAGTGGGATGGCTCCATCTGCTAGAGTGATTGGTAGTCTTTTGTTAACTCCCTGCTCATAACTCCTCAGTTTGTTTTATATGTGTGCATATGGACAAATTAGTGGGCATGATTTATATTTGTGCATATGGACAAATTCGCTGGGAACAGAGTGACCCCTCTCCTTTCCTTCTGTTTGGTTTCACTTTTTGCCATCATTTGATTGGTTGACGGGCACAGAAAGAAAGGGAGGACAAAGTGCTTTTTGCCTAAGTTAGTGTTATATATTTTTGTTTGAATTTTATTTTACATGACACGACACCCAGTGGCATATAGGATATTTTCAGCTGTTTTTTGGGCAAATGACAATTATAGTAATTAAAATGACCCCATTAGTAATATCTGTTATCTCTTTGATTCAGCCTTATAAATCAGGACATGTGATAAATGGTGTGCGGATTTTGATTTCAGAATATTGTTAGCCCAACATGCATGAAATTCGTGCATTAGCCACATGTATGTTAGTCCCAAAATGTCTTTTTTTGACTATGGGTGGGACCACTAAAATATTTTGAACCACATCTAAATTTCACATTTGCTTCTCTGTTTACAGGACCCACGATGCAATTGATTTCCAAATTAATAGATTTGGAAACAATAATAGTTTTAGTTTGTTTTTATTCAACAGTAGTTGCATATTCTTTCTACAATATGTGCCTGTAAGAAACGTTCAAACCAACACTGGTGGCTGTAAGAAACGAGTCATTACTTAACGAGCTAAAGGAAGCGTTAGCTGATTGTGAAGTGATGCCAGAAATTATTCCTGGGGAGCAAGGTGTCATAGAGGTAAGAAGACATTTCTTCTGATCCTATATGCAAAAGGAATCAATGCTTTATACTGAAATTTTCACTAATAGTCAACTCTTCAATAATAGGTCGCTCGACACCCGGATGCATTTACAGTCGTGACGGGCATAGTAGGGTGTGCAGGACTAAAGGTAATTTATGTTTTTCTGTATTGCATTTTGTTTCCTTCATCTTTTATTTTTGATAGTTTTTAAGGTGTTAAGAAAAGTCGGAATGTGACAACCTAATCGATAGTGCCGTAGTGGTGCAACCAACATCCCATCCTTGACAGTTTGAGCCTTGGTCCATGGCTCCTTTATGAAACTGCATATCAGTAGGCCCATCATGCCTCAGTGGTGCTACTTTCAGACTCTGCTTAGTATCTTGTCTTCGCATTTCCGGAGAACCCAACATTATCATGCTATTTTTAAATTTTCTCTCCTCTACTTTGGATGGATGAATTGAGAAAAAAATATATGTAGCCAAATCTGTTTATGTTGTGCTTGCTGAAGCTACTATGAAGGCCAACTGAAATATCCATTATTTTCTTTCTGTTTGACAGCCTACAGTTGCAGCAATTGAAGCTGGGAAAGACATAGCATTGGCGAACCAAGAGACGAGCGCGCCGAGGGCGATGACCGCTACCCTGCTCCTCTCCCGGCAAAGGCACGTCTACCTCTCCCGTGAAGGTAAGGCCATCTTTGCCTCTTCCTTTAGTTTTTTCCTCTGTTTTTTGTTACACGACTTTGTGGTGCTTAGTGCATATGTCATTCCCTCCTGTCAATTGATTGAATAACTCTGCTACATGTGATTGCATTAGCAAACTCCATTTTTTGTGTATGTAGAAAAACAAGGGAAACTCCATTTTTGTGTAATTACAAACAAGAGTCACTTTTAGATGGCGAAGACTGCTCCCCTGATCCTAAGAGCCTACTGACATTTCATTAAATCCTGTTATAATTTTTGTTATTAGCAGCAGATACTTGATAAATTTGTCTTTAGAATTCCAAGTACATGACCATATTGATCCTTCTATTTTAGATGTAGCAGAACACACGTTCGTAATTGATACACCAAGGCTCAGCTTCTCTATATTGATACGAAGGCCTGGAGCGTGTTTCTTTTGTTTTTTGATGCAATGTGAGTCGTCGGATCTCGCTCAAGATTGCTCTGGGCCGTTGGATCAGATAGAAACAACGCTATATCGATTATACAGTAAGCACCACCTGAAGTTCTAAACTGTTCGTTGTTTCCCTTGCATAGTTGGCTGACTTAGGTATATAAATTATAATCAAACTGAACTACAATAATTTTAAGATCATGATTAGGTATTCGCATGAAAATTGATCAGGCAAATGGATGTACAGGCTTCAAATATGTTCAGCTTTAGGACATTTACCATAATAGGATGTGACAAATGGAAAACATCTGTAGATATACATGTTGGTTACACGAGTGTAGGATGTGACAATATGTCGAATATGCTTAATTATTATTATTTTGACTTTATGCCAACACATTTGTTTTTGGAAAATAGTTGTTTTCGCTGATCCATTTTACCTCCTTATTCTTCTTCAGTTTGGAGATCTAGGGATACAAGCGTGTTCAGGAAATTATATGGGTGAAGACCAATAGACTTCAACGCATTATTCGAACTGGCCGCACTACCCATTGGTAAGGTGCATTCTTTTTCTTTTGGGATTATTCAGTTCCCTGTACTTATCTCCGCATCTATTCTCCGTGTCGTTTCTGAAATTGGTAAGGTGCATTCTTTTTCTTTGGCAAACAGAGCAGGCAGGAGGAGGAAGCAGAGAGGGAGAGGGCGAGGAGATCCTGGTCTGCACCTTGCGTCTCCCACAAGCTACTGCAACGGGAGAATCGTATACCCAAAATCTTTCTCAAAGCCTACAGCTACTGCCTCCCCAAGCAATGCCAACCTGCAGCAACAAGATAAGCTACACTCTGTTTATGTATTACATATTTCATTCAACTATGCCCCTCTCTTTAATCTTCCCATTGTGAATAGGTTATATGGTAATATAAATAGCTGATTTGATAATGGAAAAATCTGATTTGATAATAGAAATAGCTGGTTTGATACAAACATATTGCTAACTCCTTAGGTGTAATGTTGTTTAAAAGATGCCACAGTCGTATATTTTTTTTCATGAGACAAACATGTATTTGTTTGTTTGTAGGGTTCAGATTTTAAGATCTCCGGTGGGCTTCTATAGGATTGGTAGAAGAGGAGGACCAGAGCTGACCAACTCTTCTCAAGGTCACCTTTCTACAACAATGTAAGCAGCATCCTTCAAGAAACTTATCGAGTCTTCTGATCGACGCATCATGAATCGGGCATTTAGTTGATAGATGTATCGGTGTTGTGTATTTCCAGATTGTACTCAAACTAACTTGGCCCCTATATTAAAGATGCATGGCTTGATTTTAAAATTATGGTTATGAACACAAAGCTAATTTGTACTCTGTTCTATACTACTGTCCCTTGGACAGTGATCCCACAATTGAGAGGAAGCCAAACATAGGTACATATGTTTTCCTTCATCCAATCCAATGGTTTTTTCTTAAGGCCATTGAATACATCATGTAACCCCACATAAATGGTTGGGAACCAGATAAATTTAATTTATCTTCAATACCCTCTCCAAAATATTGCTGCTGCATGTATTAGGCAGGATCTATAAGAGTTATTGCTATGTATATGTTGTGAATCTGCCAATGTAGTCAATTTGCGGTTCTATCATATTTCTTAGTTCAAGCCCCTGAGATAATGCGTTTAAATTTATGAACTCAAACAGTTCAAGATTCAGTAAAAATGCATGATGATCTTTACAAATTATCTATTTTTCTATGGGACTTCGAAGATGAGCCTTGGCGCAGTGGTAAAGCTGCTGCCTTGGGTTCAAGTCCTGGAAACAGCCTCTTACAGAAATGTAGGGAAAGGCTGCGTACTATAGACCCAAAGTGGTCGGACCCTTCCCCGGACCCTGCGCAAGCGGGAGGTACATGCACCGGGCTGCCCTTTTTTTTTTTACTTCGAAGATAATAAATTAGGTGCATAGTAGTGGCATGTTACATGGTCTAGGTAGGTTCTAAGGAAGGGGAGTGTTGGATCAGTCTCATATTCATATTGGTGCGTGTGGTGGTAACTGAGATGGGACGCTGTGGCATGCTTTTGTGTTGTTGATAGTTAGTGTGGATCGCTTAATTGGTCCTCTTGAATGGGTAGATCAATCTGGTGCCAGCTTAGGGGACGGGTTAGGTGTGATATACTAGCTTTTCCGTTTATTGGGATGGTCAGCATTGTTATATACCATTTTCAGGGTTTCAGTCTTGTTAGTTGCAGGTGTCTGACAGATGGTTGTTCACCCTTATGAGGTGTACCAAGCGATCATCCTTTCCGAACTGTACACAGTGCTTTGGAGACAAAAATTCCACTGCTGTGCTACTGAACCTTGGTCGTGCAAGCTAATCTAATGGATGTCAGTTAACTCCTTGTGTACACATAGTCCGTATGTTATGTGTGGGGAAATGAAATGAAGTAATATATAAATATGTGAATGTATGCCTTTTATTTTATTTTATTTTATTGACGAGCATGGCACGAGTTCTTCCGTTTTTATTAAAGATAGGAAAAAGGGAAAAAAAATACTTAGTTCCTTGGTTAATGTCTTTTTATTTTATTTTATCATTTTCTCAGTGTGTTATGAGTCATCGTTGGCCATACAGTTATGGTTTCGTAAACAAAAATAACGCTTTGGCTCTGTGTGGTGCCTCGACACATCATATATACATGGATAGTGAAATATCGGGTCTACCTTATTCACATAGTTATTCTTATCAGCGTACAGAGCAAAAGACTCGGTGCATGCTTGGTTGAGTAACCATAGACTCACCAATGTAGTCTATGTATTCTTACACTGGCCATACATAAAAAAAATGTGTGTTCATTGACCGGTTTTGCTCAAAATAAAAAATTTGTAGCTCATACCTTAAGACTGACCGTCGATTGCTTCTTTTGTTAATTGTTTCCAATAATGTTATTTTTGCATCTTTATGTTGTCCTGCGCATGTATGTTCCTTTGCTGCTCATTTATCAATCACATATTTATGTTTTCTCTATACCATTTCCAAACACTCAGGTGGACCAGACTATCGTAAGCATTTTTAGCAGAATGATTCTTGATATTATGTTGGATCATGTTGGAATTCCTAGAGCTATTTATCGGAGAAGGATGTACCCGCATAGCACAATGACTGTCACTGTGCTTTTCTACCGGAGAAATGCACGCATTTGAGTATTTCTGTTAGCCATCTTGGTAAAGAAATGTTTGTTGTTTCCTTGGTGTTTATTTCCATTGGCAAAACACTGCTTATCGGTGGTTGGAACTATGCTTCCAGCAGTATCACTTGCCATGATGAGCTACATCACTAATTCTCATTTTGTGTACTTATCAAGGCTGCTATCTGATTTTGTCACTTCCCTTTTGTATAGTCTTTTGTATGCCTTGCTTACACTACTGTACTGTCCAGCTGCCCTGTAGTGTGCTACTTGTTTTTCTGTCCCTTTCTTTGAAATGACTTGCCCTAAATATTACCACCGGTCTTTAGATTTGTCAGATGTGTTGCTTTCTGTATGAACATGTTGTAATCTTGATCATGTATCATTCATTTTTACTCCTAGGTTTTGTTTCCTGCAACCTCTGTTTACATTACAACTTCGAAATAGATAGGATGTGGTCTGATTGCAGTTATGATTTAGCACTGATTGTGTGGGTATGGCAAAGGCGACAACAATGTTTACTATCACCCTTTTTGGCTTTTTATGTCAGGTTGATTACATCTGGTCATTACATTCTTCGGGAGGAGACCTTGTGTTGAGCATGACACCCAGTCTGGCCAGCCTTGCAACTGCCAGCAACCCGATTCATCGACTGGTATTAACTTGCATAGTAGTTCTGTTTAGATTACAGTTTTAGCTTCCTCCACTCTTTGCTTTGATTAGGTTAATTTCTATTCCCTCTGTCCCATAGTATGAGAACATTTTCCAAACTATGTTAGCTTGAAAAACGTTCTTATATTATGGGACGGAGGGAGTAACAAATAGGATGATGATCAGGATGAATAATATTTCGGCATTGCTACCATTATGGTTCCACTCATGAATAACTGAATTAACTTGATGATCCATTGCAAGCAATTGTTCTAATTCCCATTTGGCAACCTTGAATAATTTGTTTAATCGCTTGAACAGTATGTTGATCCAAGCAATGGTCTTTGTTATGAGGAGCCTGACTGCACCGAATATGATGAGTTTCCTGGCTACTATCCATCTGACCATGAGGACAACAGTAGTAATTGCTTATCTGAGCTTGAGCTGTGAATGCGACCGATGTTTTGACCGCATAAGAAGATGAAGTTCTTTTCGTTTATCGAGTAATATTATCATAGGTGGATGTGATGCCTCTATAGAGGCGTTGTGAATCAGTGTAGTAGCACACCACCCTTTCCTTATTGTAAATTATGTGTGCTCATCGCTATGAGACAGGTCCTTCGGATGGATTTACTAATCCATGGTTATTGTATATTATGTTGTAGTTCCAGTGTTGGTTCTCTAATTTACTTTCTGTGCATGTGTTATCATGTATTATTGCATATGCTAAACCTGGATTTCTACTAACTTGCCATTACCTGTTTAACCAAAACGTTGCGACCGGCACCCTTGCGCCAAGGCGCGATTCCGATCTAGTTACTTAGAATCCATGTTGCGTAGGTGCTTGTCCCATGCTTCTCACGAACAGATAGAATTATAACCATGCTTCTTGATTTAGTATATTTGTTTCTAGTTTGTGGAGATATTTATTTATTAATGAACAAATATTTTTCATCACCTATGTGATTTCTCTTTTTTCGATGCCCCCTTCAATTTGTGTAATTAGCATTTTCAATCTAATAGTGATGCATAGATATATATTCAACTGTTGATGTTTGCTTGCATATATACCTTTTGTTCTATATCTCTCCTCTGGTGCTACCTTTGTCGTTTTTTGTAAAACTATGCTTCCATTCGTAATAAAATTAAGATGACATGATTGCCAAGCTAATTTATGTAATTGTATGCTTCCATCCTACCTACTTTATTATTGCGTCAAAATGCCAAATTATATGCGTCAGCCATATTGTTCTTCAACACTAGTTCACCAAGCATACCTTGGTTATAATGCTTCAGTTGAAATGATGATTTGTATCAAGCAATTCATTGTTGATCTGGACAGTGTTGGATGCACCACCCCGTTGGGAGGAAAATTTACTGATGTTTGAAGCACCACTGATGGATGACTTCCTTCAAGCTGATGGAAGCAATACCGATGTGCTGCTTGTGCACCAAAATATTGTGCGCCTTGAGGAGCTACGACAAATGAAATAACTTGATGTCTACGTTGTCACACTCCATACAGTAGCAAGTAGCAAGCTAGCAGGAGTTACCAGTTTGTTTCAGCATGTACGTCCATGGAACTATGGATGATTAATTTTGTGCATTTTTAAGCAAACAGGGCACATTTGTAGTTCCAGGAAACACATTCTTGATGTGTTTGAAGCCGTATACTCATGATTATGGTTCATTTCTACTGGAATGGCTTATTTGGTTAAAGACAATTATCTAGTTGATGGAAGCAACATTTTGATAATTTGAAGTAAGCATACCATCACATAAGTACAGATTTCTTTTAGTCTTGTTAAGAAAATCTGATTAAATCACAACAAGTTTGATTTGCCATGGAAGCCAATTCACTGTAGATGGAAGCAAGTTTCACCGTGGAAGCAAAATATTTGTATAACATTCACTATAACATCCACAAAATGTAGATCGAAGCAAGTTTCACGGTGTAGCCCAAGACAATACCCAGGCTTCCCTGCAGATATATTAGGCCTGAATTGTGTATCATATTTTGTCGTAAAGTGTTCTGATTGTATTTATACTTTGGTTTCATGGAAGCAGATTCCCTTTTCTTTGGAAGCATATTTTCGTTTCTTGTGGAAACAATGTATAGCTACAGTGGAAACCAGTTTATGTTTGGCTGGAGCACTGTTTTGGTAACCGAACGAAATTTCGCTATCTCGCCCGGTTACCACGTTTATCGCCCCCCGTCGAGAAACACTCATGCCGGGCAAAAAATCTCGAAAGTTTTGAAAATTTTGAATTCAAACGCTCAGAGTATAGTTAAATATAGGTCATCACTTCTATTTTAACGTTAGTGGTCGTGGCCTAGTGGGAACCCCCAGCCTTTCCTCAATAGTGCGTCGCGGGTTCGAATCTTGACACACGCTTTTTAATTTCTTTTTGATGTGCACAAGTAAAAAAAGAGATTAGTTTGTTGGAGTGGCCAGGGGTGGAACTCGCAACCTTTTACCAAGGGGGAGTTCTACTCGAACAGCCACTACGCCAGAAGCAGATACGTGATAACTTTGGAAGTTAAAGTACTATCTACATCGATTTCAAAAAAATTGAATTCAAAATTTAATTTCAAATTTCGTCCGAATTTTTTCCGGTATTTCGCGGTTACCATGGTAACCGCAAATTCTGGTGCCCCTCGAGAAAAAATGTCCCCTTGGGATCCAAAACCTTGGGCTGGAGCACTCCGAAGCAGCCGGGTGTGGAGCTGCGCCAAAAATTGCCCCTTTGTTTGGGCTCCGGCTTTTATGCAGTAGAAGCCGCTGGAGCTGCTGAAAAGAGCCCAACAAACACACCCTAAGGCTTCGATCCAACAAATCATGCACGGGGTTTGCTAACAGATCGAACATTGGGTGTAAGTTCGATCGAATGGTTTGCTAACAGATCAGACATTGGGTGTAAGTTCGATCGAATGGTCTAGGACTAGTCTGATGGTAAGAGATCATCAACAGTCTGGTGCCTAGCGTTTCCCAATAAGAAATGGTCACTCCACAGCATAGCATTACCACTTGTGCGGATGGAGTACAACAAGAAGACCAAACTGCAATACCAATGTTGAACCAGCCACTCCAACTCATTCAAACACTGAAGTGATGACGGCCTCCTCCCCCTTCAGATTATCCGGAGTCTGCCAATTTCCCTGCATGGGTTCAACAAACAGACCACACTGCTATTGCATCCTCCCTTTTCTCTCCTCAATAGATGTACGTTTGAAGGATTATACATGTAAGTTGCTACCGTTTCCACATATCAGTATGTTTAGTCACATCTTTCTGCGCTTTCCAAAGAGTAGCATTACGTTCTACCACTTTCCAGCATCACCGCCGTAGCAACTGCATTTGAAGCTGTCATATCCAAATACCACCAAACGTACGTGAGCAGATGAAGCACATATAAGAAGATAAATAAACAACTTTACACATACCTACATTAGGAAACAACAAAGGCGAGAGAAATTGCATCTAGCCTGATTACAGTGATGTTCTCAAAGAAAGAAAATTTACAGTGATACATTGCCATATTTTGAGAGAATAGACACAAAATAGAGAGAATAAATCTTAGGTAAAAACCATAGTAAAATTTGAACAATTGTTGCACACACAAAATTCAAAACTCAATACGTACTTACAACCTCTGTTCCTAACTGTAAGATGTTTTGGCAGTTTATAAATAGAGGGTGTACAAGTTTACGGCAAAAAAGTCATTAGTCTAACAAACTGCTCTCCCATGTTATTCTGTCCACATACCCAATTGCATATATTTTGAGGAGAAATTAACAAAAAAAATCATGTTCTCAATTATCTCACCAAGACTGAGCTTATTATAAAACATGGTCAAATATTATAAAACATGGTCAAATTTGAAGGCTCCACCCCATATAACCTTGGATGCACACAGATAGTATAATAAAAAAAATGCTCAGATCGCTGCTTGAAGTGAAATAACTGTAAAGCCAAGCCTGAACATTCTCAAAAAGAAAAGAGGGAGAAACGAAGGACCACACTGCGAAATCAAAACTAAAGCCATGTGAACTGAATCACCTTTTACAAAAGTGTGTGGTGCGCATGCTCCACAGCCAAACATAAATATTAGCTAGACAACACAATGAAAAAATATTCATGTTTTAAAACCAACCACCAACACCAAGTACTACTGAATTTCCTTCTTTTCTCTGATGCAAAACAAATGACGTAACAAAATATCTTCAGGCTGCTGAAACGTCATTCAAAGCAATGGACAATTAGCTTTAGCGTAAATTTGCAGGGAGTTGTAACATAACAAGATGCCAAGAGCATATCAACTTTGTATAAACAATAATCAAGAGTTGAGCGATTATTTAAAGGGGTTCTAGCAGGGTTGCTAACAGTGTTGTCCCACAAATCAAATTACTCACACCGGGCCATTCGGGCTGGCTGCATTCGCCTGGGAAATAACAAACCCGAGAGTCCAATATTTTCTTTGAAATCTGAAGTTATTTCTAACCTTACCATATTTGCCATAGGATCTAAAAAATAAGTGCAGTGATTATCTTGGAAGCAAGGTGTTTAATTAGAGAGCATAGGACTTCCACACAAGAACTCCGAAATCATCAGTTTGTAAAGCCAATGGAGAGCCAAATCAAATGGTTCTAGCATAAGCAGAATGGGGAAAAAAAATGTGCTCATCATATTTGACCATTGACGTCTAGAGCAAATCAGAGAGCAAGTCCCTATGAAAAAATAACATGTTAAACAGGAATCTCATTTAGGTTGCGAGAGTTACACCAAGTAGAGAGCAGAAGTTTTTCTTTGGCTGCTGTCAAGGTTGATCGATCACATGCCAAATTAAACAGGCAGCCACACAAATACATATATATGCACTAGAGAGGCTCCTCACAAGAGTAAAAGAGACAGCTTGTATGATTGATACATGCCTTACTATAGCGGTGTCTACGGTCCACATAGAATACTAGATACTCATCAAGGTTGTAGGGTCTGGCAGCTGGTTGATATAAATACCGGGTTATATCAAAGATGAACTTGTCATTAGGCTCGGTCCTCCGGTGGTTCTTGTTGTTGATATGATAGATGCCAAACCCGCGGTTTTGCTGATGATAGCAGCCGAGGTATATTGTGTCGGCAGAAATGGAGGGGAATGTCTCGGTAGAGATGTGCAAGCAGTGCGTCAGGCCAATAAACACTGCATGCCGGCCAAGGCTCCTCATGGGAACCAGCCTCTTTCCGGCGATGTCCACCTCCAACACCTCAATGCGGCTGGTGATGCCGCGCGCCGTGAATAGCTCATTTTGGTTGTAAGCCCCAATGTCGCCGAAGCGCTCCACGCCACTCCAGTACCGTACCATCAGCATCCTCCCGTCGGTGCCACTGACCAGGAACGACATTATGCGCTCGCGCCAAATGTTACCTGGTTCAGCAAAGCGGCGCTGGTCA